TTTTAACAACTGCCTCATCTAGGTGAGGATGAGACAACTCTCAGTCTGGAGTTTCATAAGAACAGTGGAAAGACTTGTACTAAACACCTGAAAATATTCCAGTTGACGCAGTTTCCAAAATCTTTCCATTTGCACAGACATGGTAGTAAAACCTCAGCAGACTAGGATAACTGTGTGTTATGCCAGACGTAGTACAAGAGACTATTCACAGCTGAGGTATGTGCAGTGTGATCTAAAGAAAATTTGGAGTAAATCATCTAAGCTCCCAGCCACTGAAACAATTCACATAAATGCGAGGGCAGATGTACACAAACCTCAGAGGTTAAGTGCTCCAAAAGTACATGAGGTATCCGAGTATCTCTTTACTGTTGCCAGTGGAATGATCTGGTTTCTATATTTCATGATTTGATCTTTAACTATAAACCTATAAGCTGTACAGCCACCCAGATCACTTGTACTTGACAAGCTGCTGAAAAATAATGATACCAAGATCACAGTTGCAGCAGCAACCCTGCTCTTGGTATAATCACTTCAGGACAACACACAATATACGTGCGTGCGTGCGTGTGTGTGTGTGTAGTGTGTGTGTGTATAGTGTGAACTGTTCCTGAAGTGGTCAATTAAAAAATTAAATCCAAAAAGAAACACTAAAAATTCTAGCTTAATAAGTCTAATGCAACGCTTACCATGTAAAGAGCAATGTCCTCCGGAGCATCACCATCTGCATCAAATTTAAAAGCGACCATTTTGTTGCTATGAGTCTCCAGTTGGCATTCCACCATGTTATCTCCAAATTTCGAAACCTATAGGCAAGCAATTAAAAGTCATAAGCAATAATACTTTCACACAGTAAACACTAGCGTTGGCCATACACGTTGTTGCATAATGCAGTCAATTCAACAATGACTGTGTATGATGTAGGGCTGCAACCAACTAATCAATTAATCGATAATGAGAATAGTTGTCAACTATTCAAATTATCACTTAGTTGGTTGGATCCCCTAGCTCTCTCCTCCGCAGTGGGCGGGTGCAATAGCCAGCCTGCTATTGCAATTTGAAATGGCCAATAGCAGGCTGGCTATTGCACCAGCCCACTACTTGCAGTATTTACATTCAGCTGCTGTCTGTGGAATCTTGCCACCGGCAGCTGTCATTCCCTGGCTGAAGCTATTTAAAGCACCATGAGCTTACAATACAATTATTAAAAAAAAAAAGTGGGAAAAAAGTAAATTTTCGGTTTCGGCCTGACAAAATCCTCAGAGCACTTCTGACCTTTGCAAAGGCTTATTCAGGCCCCTATTCAGCCTTGGGGACCTGCTGATACTGGCTCCTGTGCTTTATAGGAAATGTTGATTTTTGTTTTTTTATTATTGTGTATGAAGGACATTGCAAGTGGGGGAGTCATTGTACACAGAGTGCTTGTACAGTCAAGGTTGTGACATGGAGTCTGCAAAGCCTCAATGAACACCAATGTTGTGGCATAATTTCCCTTGGTCGCAGGGGCACTGTTACTCCCACAGGTACATTTTGTACTCTGTGACCAACAACACTGGAACATTTTACATTCCTATTGACCACCAACGCTGGGACATTTTGCGCTTCAATTGGCCACTAGTGCTGGTGCATTTTGAACTCCCACTGACACGCACTCTGGGACATTTTGTACCCCCCTACCACCAACAATGGGACATTTTGCATTCCCACTGACACTCACTATATGCTGCTACTGGATGCTGTCCTCTGCAAAGGCTTCCCCCCTCAATGTCTTAATTATTCATTAAGCGACACAGGATTAGTAGAATTCAGGAACTCTGCGTTACATCGCTGCCTTCAGGATGAATTGGACACTAAAAAAACAAAAAAAGCCACGCCAATGATGCGTCAGTTTTTCGCAAGCGTCCTAGGAGGATGGATTGCTGTTTATTCAGAGAAAAGCAAACCCATTATTTCTAAACATTTTTACTTTCTTAAAGACTGTTCTTTTAATTAAGATTATTTATTTGCCACTGAGCTGGGACTTGTCATTCAGCTATCTGGATCACCTGATCCTCAACACCACCTTAGAGGCCATACCCAGACACAGCTGGACTTGGGATGGCAGGGATAGTGTGTAATGTGACCTTCAGGGACTGGGTTCTGCTTGTGGTTCTCCCCAGACATTTCCAATACTGGTTTGATAGTGCAGAGTGCTTTACAAGTCCTGCTCTGTGACACATCCACCAGTATAGTATTGAACCCTGAAGACACCCTGGATAATATGCCCACCTTGTGGACAAGGAATGCCTGTAACATTCTATTCTATGCTCACTTGATTCTGCATATGGCCCTCTGCAGTACTGTGCTTGTTCTCGACCGAATGCTCTCCAGGCCTGCAACTTGGTAAGTCTAGGGTTTCACCCTATATAAGCTTGGTATATTACTCCTGCTATCCCTGAAAGAGTTAACACACTGCAGAACTCCAGCTTAAGGATAAGGTAACCCCTTTTTCATGTAAAGGAGAATTATGAAGCGAGTGATTTTCATTCAGCCTCAATCTGAGCTGACCTGTGACAATGAAACTGTCACAGGTCGGCTCAGTAGAGCGGGAAGTGAGCGAACACATACCGTCGCTCGCTCACTTCTCGATCTATCCCTGCAGAGAGCCGTGAGTGTCATTCACGGCGCCCTGCAGGGATTCCCCCCTTCCCTGTCCGATCCTCCAGCGCTGACTGGCAGAACAGATGGGGGAGGGTAAGCTGGCTCTGCCTCTAGATAGGCAGAGCCAGCTGTCACTAACGCAGCTGGGTGGATTCAGAGAGCATTGTCAGGATCAGTTCCGGTTGCGGCGTCTCAGTATATCGCGAGCTGTAGCTCGCAGTATACTGAGCTTTGGGTGACGGGAGGACGCTAGTTTGTGTCCTCCGGTTACCCTAAGGAGAACTATGGGGAAAAGCCCTAACCCCATAGTTCTCCTTTAAGGCTTAATACACCAGATCTGTGACTGCTTCCTGGGATTTTCTGCACCAAACTTCTGTCTCCAGATTTGCAAGTCCACCACCTGGTCCTCCGTTCAGTTCTATCATGAGGTGGATATTCAGGTACCTGTGTATACGAGTTTTGGACACGAGGTCCTTCAAGTTGTTATTTAAGCTGCAGGCTAGTCCGTGTTTTTTTCCACAGTTATTGTTTTTGTGGGGCGTTAACATTGTTACTGCATTGCCCTGCAGTTTGACTGCTTTGGGACTTCCCAATGTTCCTGAACTCTATTAATAGTGTGTCCGTTGATGAAAGATTAAGAAAACAGGAATGTTGTAGTCACCGTAAATCCTTTTCTTGGAGTTCAAGGGTCACCTTCTCTGTATTTATGATCTACTCCTACTACTGCTTTTCCCCCAAACTGAAACATAATGGAAGTGGGAAGGACTATACCTGGCTGGACAACGGCTTTTTTGTTTGCCAGTGTACAATATCTGATAAAGGTGGCAGTATAACCCAATATTCCTACAATATACTACTTCTGTGTCCTTTGATTAACGCCAAGGATTTTACGGTAATGACAAAAATCCTGTTTTCTAGCAGAGTGAGCCAAGTTTAGAAACCAGGTCAGTATTTTATTGCTTGTTGTGTCCTCATGAGAAAGATTTTCCTTTACTTCCTTTCATTATCACAGATGTCAGATATAACAGGCAGGGAGGGGAAATGTTCCATACTGGGACACTGCATACATTTTTTTTTTACAAGGGCAGCATTTTAAACCTAACCATTTAATGAAAGTTCTAATATTTTCTCTCCATCTAAAGCAAAAAAACAACAAAACAATTTGGCTGGAGTTCGTTAAAGCATTTGTACTGGGGACACCTAGTCGCAGAAAGAGACACATACCCCTAAGAAAGACAAGTTAAACCGAGTCATCTTCTCTTGACGAGGACAAGAAGCTCTGCGTTTCATCTTTTCATGCTTGCCATTTCCCACTGAAGCATCAAAACTACCGGAATCAGCATGGACACTGGGAATTGAACAGAACAGTTTAATAACAGCAGAAAAAAAATGTGATGGGTCTTTACTTACAATTAAAGTGCACACATTTTCAGAACTCACCATTACCCGGATACATTTAATAAGTCTTGTCGAAGGAGTTTTAAAAAGATACAATGAATCCACACACAGAAAAGTTTTTGGACACCTGACCATCATACCTATATGAGCGTGTCAGAAAACCATGGGCGTCTACATGGCCAACTAAATGGTTATTGACAGCCTCCACCCTTCTGGGAAGGCCCTTTGCAAGACTCTGGAGTGTGCCTGAACTCGTAGGCATTCAGCCAGTAGAGCACTTGTGTAGCCAGGTTCTAATGTTAGACAAGACCAGGCTCAGAATCAGCATATATATTCATCCCAAAAGGTGTTTAACAGGGTTGAGGTCGGGGGCTCCGTGCAGACCACTCATGTTTCTCCACAACAAAGTCATCAGACCATGTCTTTATGGAGCTGGCTTTGTGCACAATGGCACAGTCATGCAGGAACAGAAAAGAGCTTTCTCCAAACTGTTGCCACAAGGTTGGAAATTAACAATTGTCTAAATGTCTTCATATGCTGTAGCATTAACAGTACCCTTCAATGGAAACACCGGAACTCATTTTCAAGGGGTGTCCACATACCTGTGGCCAGAGGCGTAACTAGAAACCTTAGGGCCCCGATGCAAGAAACCATTAAGGGCCGCCCCCCCCCCCCCAAAAAAAAAACATGGTTTTGATACCTTTTTTTTTCGATTAAAAAAACAAACCAGTATGTATATTATGACTTTCAGGGCAAGTTAACACCAGCTCCAGTGTGTTCCGGCCCAATTTAGTGCTGAAACACACTGGATCACATCCCGGCCAGCTCACTGCGTTCTGGGGTGGGAGAGGGCGTGGAGGTGCATTAAAGTTAATGGCACCGCAGTGTGATTGCCTGCACCAGAACGCATGGCAAAGCAATGCCTGCGTTCAGAAAAAATAGTGCATGCAAATGGAGTTCCCCTTGGCACTATTGCATGAGCATCCCTACTTAATATAATGTATTGCTGGGACTTGTAGTCCTGCATAGTGGGTGCTATTCTGCATTGCTGTATAATCATTATACAGCAATGCAGATCACCACAAGCTATGCAGGACTACAAGTCCCAGCGATACATTCTAATGTAAACAACAACAGCAGCCTCTTACCTCCCCCCCCACGTCCCCGCCTCCCCCACACCGGACTTACCCGACTCCTACAACCGCTCCTCATCATTGGCGGCCATGGGGCAGGGCTGAGTGGAGCTGAAGAATGTGCTGCCTGGCGGTGCCTGCTGTGTCGGTAGCAGCTCCGCCAGGCAGACAAGGGACAGGCAGAGCCTCTCTATCCCCGCACAGCCGCCCGTACATGCAGAGCGGGGGAGGGAGCGGCGCTGTTGACAGCATGAAGAAGCTTTCGGGCGCTCCGCTTCCTCTCTGGGGCCCCCCCCAACAGGCGGAACGCCAGGGTACGGTCGCAATTGCGACCCTGGTAGTTCCGCCAGTGCCTGTGGCCATATATTAGATGAGATTGTCAGGTGTCTGCAAACTTATGGCCATACAGTTATCTTCTGCATGTCCCACAAACGTATTGTACGCTTTGTTATTGCAAACTAGTATGTTTTATTAACAATGTGCAGTATACTGCACACACTATTGAAAATAGAACATAAAAAGGTATATCACACAAGCAAAATTATACAGCAGCTCAAAGTGCATCCATTTGTGCTTTAGTCTGGGTAATTAAAGTATAGTAGGTGCTATGCAGTCTGACATAAAAACTGCTGAAATATCAGTTTCTGCTTAATATACACTATAACATTTAAACACTTATAACACACAGGCACAATGTTAGAACAGGGCTGTAATATTGTGTCAGTCCCTTACCCATAAATGGTTTCCAATTTCAGAACACCTGACTGTTCCATCCCTTGTACCTAAAAGCAATGAACATGTGGCAAATAGCTTAGAACTCAGACACCTCAGTATAGGCACTGCAAACACTGACATCAAATGTATAATTTCACAATGCTAACAAGATTGGTGTATGTTCCCCATAGACACTGCATAACTGAACTCTAAAAACAAATCAATGGGTCCATAAAGCTTGCGGGTGAAAATATGATCACCCAATTTCACTCAGTACCCTATTGGACAAGGTGTACATATGCCCATAGAGGGGTGTCACATGGTCAAATAAAGATTGATAGTACATTTGATATGCCATTCTTTTCAAGGAAAGGTTACCCAGAAATGGCTATTTTAATAATAACTATTCTAGAGAAACTGGATAAATCCAAATCATAAGACCCTCTAACAGAAATTACCAAACCCCTGTTTCTTGGACCTTTGGAGGGGACCTAAACATTAATATACAATACAATTAAATAATGGAAAATACATTCTATGGGGGGGGGGGGGAACGGTTTGTGTCTCTGGAACTGGCTGCTGAATTTGGCTCTGCAAAGCAGGGGCAAGAACTTGGTGAGCGTAGAGTGGAACAGTCGCCTCTGTTGTCAACCCATCTGAAGCGGAGTTTGCTTGTGGCAGATATCCAACTGACTGAGGTGAGTCATTGATGTCAGCACGTAGACTTGGTTGTGACTGTAAAGATGAAGGCTGCTCTAAAGATGAAGGGGGCACGTGACTTTGAAAAGACATCTGAGCTGTCGCAGCTTTGCTTTGAGACACAGCCATATAGTCCACACTTTCTGATGTTTGCGGTTCACATGCTTGTACAGGGGGATGCTGGTTATAAGTGGTTTGAAGGAGTGATTCTTGAGCAGTGTGGGGTGCATTGCCATGCATGCTTTGAAGGCCATTGTGCGGCTGTTGAACAGTTAAGAGCTGACTTGTTGGACCATGCTCAGAAGGAAGAACACAAATTAATGGTTGCAGAGAAGCTGCAACAGGAAAATGCTGAGTCGGCCCTGCGGGAGGCACAAAAACCTGATTAGTGTGCTGTGATCCTAAAGAGGAAAGCGATACTTGACTGAGATCTGTCTGAGTCTTTTGTTCCATTTCTGGCTGCATCAGCAATGTTTGTTGATCCAGAGACTGAACAGACTGTTGAGCATGATGTACATGGTTCTCAGCTAGCAGGTCTGGTCTGTGCTCTTGTGGGGGGGTCATAGTCTTCAGTAAGTGAAGATTTGCTTGCTGATCACTGGCCTGCACATAATTGGTCTTTTCTGCAGATGGCATGGAATGAAGTCCATAAACCAACTGCTCTGAGGAAGATATCGAGTTGTGAACATATGCAAGTCTATCCGAAGGAGGCAAATTACCATGGACAGATGCAGGAACCCCATGGCTGTACATGACTGGGTGCTCTGTAGCAGGAACATGTTGCACTGGAGCATACAAGGGCTGATGTGTGGCAGGCATTGGTTGGGACATGTAAAGCGATGGATTGGACTGGGGAGCTGCTTGATGGGTATACAGCTGTTGATCAGCTGAAGGAGCAGCCTGGTTGATGTATACATGTTCTGCAAGAGCAACTGGCTGAGGAACAAACACTGGCTGTGGAGATACGGAACTATGTAGATGTGGTTCAGCCAAAGGTACTGCATGCTGCGCAATAGGAAGCTGGTCGGCAGCAGCCATCAAATGCGTGTTGGGTTGCAAAGGCTGAGTAGCTGACTGGGTATATGCTTGCTGTTCAGCTAAGGGGACTACTTGTTGGTTACAAACTAGCTGAGGTGGAGGGCCCAGATTTTGCTGGACGGGTGGTGCTACAGTCTGTTGGTTGTATTTCTGCTCATTGGGCAAAACAGCTTCACGGGCATATAAAAATTGATCAGTAGGGGCATTTTGTACATTTATGGGTTGGCACTGTAATACTCCAACAGGTGGATCAGTTTTCTGTATGTGTTGTTGATATGCCAACTGCTCACTTGGCTGTACAGGAGGAGACATATAGACACTCTGATCAGATGGTGTCACAGAATGTTGGACATACATAGGCTGCTCCAGTGGTGGCACAATCTGCTGTGAATACATGGGCTGCTCCAATCGTGGCACAGCATGCTGAGCATATACAGTCTGGTCCATCTGTGTTACTGCATGCTGTGTAAAAACAGACTTTTCAGATCCGATCACTCCATGCTGTGCATACATTTGTTGGGCATATAGGAGTTGGTCAGTCTGTTGCTGTACATGCTGGCTATACATGGACTTCTCGGTTGGTGGATTACCATGCTGAGAATGCATGGGCTGCTCTGGAAGAGGTGTTACAGTATAAACCTGCTGCTCAGGTGGCAGAATAGAAGGCTGTACAAACACTGGCTGCTGTTCATGTTGCAGCACACCATGCTGGGCAAAGACAACTGCTTGTTCAGGTTGCGAGACCCCTTGCTGCGTATACACAGGCTGCAGTTCAGGTGGTGGAGCGACTTGCTGGCCATATACTGGTGCCTGCCCGCACACTGACGTAACTTGGTGCTCAGGTAGTTGCATTCTTTGCTGCTGTTCAGAAACTGTCAGGACTTGCTGTGGACCCACTGGCTGCAGCTCAGATGGAGGCACAATATGCTGGGCATACAATGCTTTATCTACTTGTGGAATGACCTGCTGTGAAAACACCAACTGCTCAGAAGACTGTGGCATTGGCTGAGCATAGCCTATCTGGCCAGTTGGAGGAACAACCTGCTGGAGATACTTTGCTTGCTCACACGGCATAGCAGGCTGGGCATGCTGCAACATTTCAGCTGATGGCATGGCTTGCTGGCCATACCCTATCTTTTCAGATGATGGTACGGTTGGCTGGGCATAAACAGGCTGCTCAAATGAAGGTTTTGTTGGCTGTGGACATATTGTCTGCTCAGCTTGCTGTACAAACTGTGGCTTTTCAACCGACACAGTTTGCTGAATATATGCGTGCAGTTCAGTTGATGCCGCTTGTGGTGGATACCCAGGATTTTCAGCCAATAACAAGTGTGGTTGGTAAACAGCTTGCTCAGCTTGCAGAGTGGCTTGCCTAGGGTACATACCATGATCTGTTCTATCATGCTGGGTGTGCATTAGCTGTTCAGACATGGATACGTTTTGTTGCACATAACATGGCTGGTCAGAAGGCTGAAGTACTTGTTGACTGTATATTATCTGTTCAGGTAACACGGCAGAGGAAGCCATCTGCATGCACAGAGCCTGGTCAGGAGCTATGGGCTGCTGTCGATATGTATCCATTGGAGGGATTTGTATATAGAGAGGTTGTTCTGCAGGATTGTGCATGGCATTAGCCTGAGAAAGCAATTTCTCTGAAGAAATGGCTACAGGTTGAGATAAAACTGATTGCTCTACTACAGAGGCATTACCCATCTGTGAGGAACAGGCTGCCTTCTCCTGTTGACAGGTAGACTGCTGGACAGGAATCTGTGGTACAGGGGGCTGATTGTAAGGAGGTTGCTCATGGACAGTCAGCGTTTGTTGCATCTGCCCGGCTGTTTCTGGGACAGACGATGTCTGAGCACTAAATGCCAAATGCTCCATTTCATACTGTTGCTCCATGCGTACTTGCTGTGTGATTGTTCCCTGCGCAACAGCAGCTGCGTATGTTATCTGAGGTGACTGTGTAGCCACTGTTGGCTGTAAAACAATTTGCTGCTGTGCTGGTGGAGACTGATAAGAGGCCTGAGGCTGTGGATTCTGTTCCAAGTGAGAATGCATGTGAAAATTCTGTCCTTGCTGTACATTTGTTGAGAACATTAAAGGATCTTGTAAAGGCAGTTGCTGTATAGTAGACATCTGTTGTTGCTGTGCATTAGTCTGGACTCCCATCACATTCTGTATGCCATATATTAGTGTTGGAACTTGATCACCAGTAGGGGCAGAAAGCACTTGCATCCCTGCTATGCCACAATTGTCAAGATGGACACCAGCCCTTGTCTGCTGAGCTGCTATCTGTCCTGATATTATTTGAGGGGACAGTGCAGAATATGGTGGCTGCATCACTGGCATTGCTGGGGCATCAACTGTGTTAGTGTGTGAAAGAGCTTTCCCTTCTGCCGAAAAGGACATCTGAGCATCCAATGCCTAAAAAGACAGAACAAAGCAAGAGTGTGAAAAAACCATTTTAAAACATTTAGTTAGCCTCACTCAATATTTGTAATAATTCCCAAATTTTTGTGAAGAGTTAACATCTATGCCAGGGTTCCACTGCTGTTCTCATTGGAACTCAAATATAAATCCAATGATCACTGAAAATCTATTTGCTTTATATGGCCAGACCTGTGCAGCATTGTTTCTCTCTTTTTTGTGTATTAATGTGTGATTTTTTTAAATAATTAAATTTTATTGATTTAACATAAATATCAGCATATAAACAGTAAACAGCCATTTACATATATCCCTGTACATATGCATATTTCCCCCTTATACATATCTACATGTCTTTATATATGCACATGCATCTTGGATATCATAATATATCTCTTATAGTTTTATTCTCGCCCACTATGACTACATGCTTTAATTACATTCCTTTATATATCCATATTTACCCCCCTCCCCCTACTAACTCCCCTTATCCCTCTCCCCCTCCCCTAATACCTTTGTTATTGACTCATAAGATATCTATTGCCGCCTTATACCAAGAGAAGGGGTACAAAATCCTATCTCGATGGTATAGGTGCCCGACCGAATTACATAGAATTTTCGCGATAAAATCACCAATGTGTTGGAGATGTGGGAAGGAGGAAGGAACCTATCTTTACATATGGTGGAAATGTGAACATATAATGCCTTTTTGGGAATATGTTTTTGAAACTTATAGCCAGATAGCGGGCACTAGAGTAGATCCATCACCTAAAATAGCTCTTTCAATTTTTCCGGGCTCGGTAAAAAAAGCAAAATCCAATCTATTAATGTGTGATTTGATATGGTGTTTTGTACCGGATACCAAACTTGCCAAATTGATAAAAAATGGATTTTAGAAAATCATATGTGGTGGACTGTGCAATCCCTTTTGAATACATTTCAAAACAATAGCAATAAAAACCTGAGAGGTTTTTTACCCTTAGCACGCTATCAAAAACAAAAAAAAACACGAGTTAGAACTTACCGGTAACTCTTTTTCCAGTAGTCTTCCAGGACAGCCTCAGAGAGCAGCTCCTCCTCCAGACAGGAAACAGGCTATCCCAAAATCAGACAAAAGCCTGCCTCCAACATATCCCTTCAGTAATCACGAGAACCAGAAGTCTGCTGGAGAGAAGGCAAAAAACACCCCCACCACCACAGTAGAATACATCCTATACAATAATCAGGGGTGAAAGTCGGCTGTCCTGCAAGACTACTGGAAAAAAGAGTTACCGGTAAGTTCTAACTCCAGTTTTTCCCCAGTTGTCTTCCAGGACAGCCTCAGAGAGGATAGGAACTTACAATATTAGGGAGGGACCACCGACTAACACTTTCCTTCCGAATGCTTTAAAAACGTCCCAAAGCTAGACCAGTAGCAGCCTTACATATTTGCTCAGGCGTAGTGCCTGCTCTTTCAGACCAAGAGGCTGCCGTAGATCTTATTGAATGTACATTCAGGAAAGATGGTGGCACCATCCTAACCATCTGCTATGTCTCAGATATTGCTAACTTAATCCATCTTACGAGAGGAGATTTGGAAGCCCTTTTCCCTTTAGTATAACCCGAGAACACCACAAATAGCGTATTTGATTTTCTAAAAGACTTAGTTGCCTCTGAATGAGCAAACATACAGCGCCTAACATCCAAGCAGTAGAAGCCCTTCTCTGTCATTAGAGGAATTAGTACTAAAGGTTGGAAGGACAATGTCCTGGGTTCTATGATAGAGAGACGATCTTTAGTAAAAACCTTGGAGCTGTCTTGAGAACAATTCTATCCTCAAATTTTTCTTGCAGAAGTTACTGCTATCAAGAAAGCCGTTTTGAGAGTAATTGACCATAGAGAAACCTCAGAAATAGGTTCAAAAGGTGGATTCTGGAGTCCTTGTAACACTTATGACAAATCCCACTGAGGAAATTATTTAACAGTTACTGCTCTCAGTCTCGTCACAGCTATAAAGAAACTGGAAATAAATGGCTGTTAAGTGTTTGCAGATAGACACTTAACGCCGAAACCTGGAGGTTAAGTGTACTTACTGCCATACCTCTGTCAGCTCCATCTTGTAGAAAGTCCAATATTGCAGGAATGGAAAAATCCTTGTTAGCAGCGCTAGACCATGACAAACTTTTTCCACACCTTACCGTAAACTGCTCTAGTAACTGGTTTACGACTGCTAAGTGTGGTACTAATCACTCTGTTGGATATGCCTGCAGCCCTTAGGATGTCTTCCTCGGAAACCATGCGGTTACCAGGGTTGGAGTCTCTGGGTGGAGAACAGGACCTGGGATAAGAGATCCTTTGTTTGGTAATCTCCATGGTGGAAAAATAGAGATTGCCGGAGAGTGAACCAAGCTCTTTTCGGCCAAAAAGGTGCTATAAGAATCAGGCCGGTCTGCTCCTGCTGAAACTTCTGAAGAATCTTTGGCATCAGATAAAACGGTGGGAAGGCATAACACAGATTGAAATTCCATGGGTTGGATAACGTATTTAGTTCCGATGCCCTGTCTAGGGGATTCAGAGAAAAGAATTTCCCCACTTTTGGCATTTTTTTTCTGAAGCGAAAAAAGTTTGACCTCCGGAACTGCCCATTCCTTTATTAGGTGGTCATAAACGGTTGGACAGAAGACTCCGTTCGTCCTTTAAAACTCTGTCTCTGCTGCGATAAACTGCCAGATTGTTCCGAGTCCCTTTCAGGTGAACTGCAGACATGGAGGCCAAAGTCTTTTCAGGCCAAAAGAATATTTCCCTTGCCAATAGCTGTAAGGATGCGCTTCTGTTTCCCCGTGCCTGTTGATGTAGGCTACAGCCGCTACATTGTCCGAAAGTATAAGAAGGGGATGCCCCCTTCGGTACGTCTGCAAATAGATAAGAGCTTCAGAATTGCTTTCAACTCCCTCCAAATTGGACAAAGCATTTGCTTCCTGTTTTGACCAATGACCCTGGATGCAATGATCCTGGACATGAGCTCCGCAGCCCCAGGAGCTGGCATCTGTTGTCAATCTCTCAGACATGGGGGAAAGTCCAGAGTAAGCCCTTTGCAAGCTGACCCCGCTTCCTCCACCACCAGATGGATCTTTCTATTCTCGATGGAAGCAGTACTCTCACCTCCAAAGAACTTTGAGAACAATTCCACACCTGCAGGAGAAAATTCTTTAACGGCTTTTGATGTAATCTTGCCCATTCCACTGCCGGAAATTTTGGGGCATCAACCCTAGAACCGACATTATAAATCTCGAGGAAATCATTTGATTTCACTGTAAACAGAAAACTGCTGTGGTTATCTTTAGAATTTTCTCCGCTGGAAGGTAAATTTTCATATCTTGTGTGTTCAGGGTGTAACCCAAAAAGGTCACTGCCTGGGAGGGGCATAGATTTGATTTTTCAGCATTTATAAGCCATCCCAGACTATACAGCCAGGTGCGTGTTAAGTTCAGGTCTCTTGTCAATTTCTCTGATGTCTGTGCCATCACTAAGATATCGTCCAGATATGGAAAGATAGTGACCCCCTGAATCCTTAGAGGGGCTAGGTCCTCCCCCAACACCTTGTTGAATATTCTTGGTGCGAATGAAGGGCCAAATGGCCGCTTCTTTCTTCTCCTGCGTTCATCTTTGGCCACAAATAAATCTTCTATTGAAATTTCTATTTTTCTTCTCTGGGAAGGACTTCTTGTCCGCTGTTCTCTCCAGTGCTTCCTCCAGTTCTGGATTGAACAGCAAATCCCCTGCGAATGGTAGATTGCACAACCTTAATTTTGAGGCTGAATCACCCTCCCATGTTTTTAGCCACAAAGCTCTTAAAGAGGTATCAAAGCAGATGATCTGGCTGACACCCTAACAGCCTCAGCAGATGTGTCTGCCACATAACCTACTGCTTTGAATAGTATGGGTAAAGACTCCAAGATCTGCTCTCTTGTGGTTCCTGCCATCGGGTGAGTTTTTAACTGCGTCAACCAGAAGTCTAGATTTCTGGTGACGCATGTGGTAGCCAATGCAGGTTTAAGATTTGCCATCTTCCTGTCCATGGAGACTAAGTTCATATCCTCAAATGCCAAATCTGCATTCTTTGATACTTTAGATAGGGGAGCATCCAAATGTAGGCACCTTGTTCCAAATCAAAGCTGGATCCTCATCGAAAGGAAATCTCCTCTTTAAATTGTGAGAGAAAAAGGGTTTTTTTTTCTGGCTCTGCCACTCTTAGGACTGATAGCGACAGGACTTTACGAATAGGAAAGAACCTTGTTTTCTTCCTTTGCAACCCATGGTACATCAGATAATGCCTGGACATCTCCAGCTTATCCTCCTGTATCTTTAAAGTTTCGTAAATAGCCTTAAGAAGATCATCCACATCTTCAAGAGACACTGCTCTGTGTCCCAGCGGGGATGAAAGGAATCACGACCACGCCGACAAAACGGCAGGAAAATTTCACTTTCGGCATTTAGCCGAAAGTGCCATTTTCGGCCGGCGCCCCCCCCCTTCACTTTTCACCCGGGGCCCGCGCCCCTGCTGCCCCCCGGTTGTTACGCCACTGCTGACAATACAGGTTTTACATAATGGTTTAGAATAGAATATGCATTTAGTTTTTCTCCAGAAACTGCACATTTCCTCCTAGGCATAGCCTTAACCCTGTCCGGTGCTTTTGCCTAGGAATACAACCAAAAGAAAAAAAACTTCTATGAGAATCCTACTAACATCAGAGTCCACCCGTGCAATTCACTTGAACACCTTCAACCAATCAGTCTTCAGTGAAACATGCAGATAAGAAAAGATCAGGAGAGAGGCACAACAATAACCACTGCCTAACCTGACCCGAAGCGGCACTAGAGGTGGCTGCATCCACAGTAGTAGCTGGCTGGGAAGTCTCCATTCCCTGCTCCTCCACTTGAGTTTGTTACACAGGCCTTCCAGAGTATCCACATCCTTAAATCGTAGCACCACTTATCGCCCCTCCTCTTCCCCCGCACCAAAACAAGGCTTGAAGCATGAACCTCGGGTGCCCTGAAGAGATGTCACCTGCCACTCGGTCAGGGACCGGTCGCCACGATCCTTGTCCATTTGCGGCATTCGTCCGCAACCAGCACCAGGGGAGAAGCAACACCTCCAGTACGCACCTTCGCCAGGTACTGAGGGGGAAGGGAGTCAGTACCTCATCCGTCGCACACTGCGATAGGAGAGGTACTGGGGCATCACTCACCATCTTTCATACAATCTCAGAGAGAGAGAACTCCAGGATGACATCTCCTGCAGACGGAGGAAATAGTATAACTGAAAGGATATGTTGGAGGCAGGATTTTGTCTGAATTTGGGATGATGCGTTTCCTGCCTGGAGGAGGCTCTCTGAGGCTGTCCTGGAAGACAACTGGGGGAAAAAAATAGTTACGGGCGCAGTTGAGCTTTCATCAAATTTATTATGTTGCCAACACAGCTGCAGCCAAACCAATTCCAAATTTGTTCTCCAAATGTTATCTTATAGTTTCAAAGCACTAAAAATCAAGAAGATAATACGAGCGCCAGCAAAGTGCAATACAGAAGGATTAACAGACTAAAAAAGAAAAAAAAAAAAGTGGCAAAATTACATGTACAGAAATGAAAAAAAAAAAAATTCTGTAAATGGAAGGGGATCTTGAGAGCTCCAGGGATCAGTGCCCTGTGGTTTGCGGCATAGACTCCACGTACAGAGCAGGTCTTCTGTGATGGAGGAATGCTATGGAAGGAGCGTCACCGGCTCCTCCTTCTCACGGGTTGATTGCCACAGTGTGATCACCAGCACTGGATTTGCACGGTACCGCAGAGCAATGCATTCCAGTGCAAAAAATTGTGCATGCAGTTTTATTCTGACGTAAACTTTGTTTGTAACACTGCATTTGAGTATTTTCTTTAAAAAGGATGGTATTCCAAAAGATTGGATATCGAGATGGTAAAGTTGGGACAATGGCCCGATCCACCAATAGGTGCACTCACGAAGATACGGTATCAAGATCAATGGACAAAGGTCCCTCCTAAGAGGGGATGTTAGTGGGAAAGGAATTTTTTCCGATAAGCCTAAGGGGGATAGGTGTTTGGGTATTTTTGTGTTGTTTTTTTTCTTCCTTTTGGTGTTCTTTATTTATTTCTTTGTATTGTTTTGTTGGTCCTTTTTGTCTTTTCTTCCTTCTTTCTCTTCTCTAATGGTATTTACATTTTTGTTATCCAAATTGAAAAAATTATTTGCCAACTAATTGAGGATAAAAATAATTAATTAGTTGCAGCCCTAATATTTGCACCCATCTATGGCCATTAACATTTTAATTAGCATTGATCACTTCAATGGCTCGCCACGCCCCCTCCTGCCACACTAAAAAGTGAGCCGGCCGCAATGCGAGGCAGTGCGCTCCGGCCAAAATCGGCCCAGAACGCACTGCACCTAGTGTGAATGAGCCCTAAAATCTAAGTAAACTCATATATGCAGTTGTATCTAGTAAATATATTTATTTTAAAATATGAAAAAGAAAAAAAACGGAAAAGTTAAAGCAGAACAAGGTTTCTTTTTTTATTTTAAATTCCCCCTTGCGGAGGGGCTAGCAATTGAGAAACATGGATCAGCTCTACTCTCGTCTCCAATACCGCCGCTGCAACCTAGGTGCTTGGTAACGCTTCCGCCAGAGCCTTCACTCAATAGGCAAAAACCGGCACGACTAAGACCCAGTTTGGGGGCTGAAAATTGTTAGAATTTTTGTTGGCTAGGCTACTTTAATGCCTTTTTGCAAAATATTACATGGACGGACTCCCTTTACGAGTGACATTTTCTACCTATTACAGAGGGGCTACCCACGCACTGCAAAGGTTAACTGCATATTTGTGCCTAGGTCGAACGAAAAAAATAATTAATCACGAGCCGGCTTATTCTAAGACCGTCCCTGGAATGTTTCTCCCCCTCCTCTGCAGAGGTCTAGGGTCCCATAAATCATCACATCTATACACTGTGCATAGACCTGAGGACGCTGAGCAACATTCCAATCTGGGGAGGAGGAGATAGGCTGGAGGGAGCGCCGTGACAGCTGGCCAACTCAGAACTTTGGGTGAGTATATCTTTGTTATTTTAGCACCTAGGCACAAACAAGCACTTAACTCTTGCTGTGCAGGGGCAGCTCCACTGCAAGGGTTAATAAAAAAAAAATTCTCTGAGTTCCGCTTTAAGGAACCCTGCGTTTGTTGTATTTAATTCCTTTATGACCTAAAATAAGTATGGACGTTAAGGTCCTAATTTAGGCAGTTTAAAATAAATGTACTTAGTTTAAAGATCCAATAGGTTTGCTGATGATTCCGTGTCTTGAATAATGCAATACAAGGTCAGGGGAAATAGAATTGTATGCCTATGACTCTTAAATCATTAGAAAGGTTTTCATGGTGTTCAAGAAAATGCCATGGAACGCGGCGTTTCATTTTCTTTGAGTGCCATATATTTTATAACTTCTTGTCACTTTCTAGAGCCAGAATTCCTAGCTGATAAGTGTAACATAACCCATTATTTCAAGGGCACAATATAGTTTCTGCTTTTCTATGTATACATTACCTGTGCAGTAAGCTGTCCTTCTACCATGGTCACTTGTTGGTATGGAGAATTAGGTTGAGCTAGGCACTGCATCGGTAACATCTGTGCCAAGGGTATCTGCAGGAAAAAGGGGGTGTAAATTTACAAAATATAAAATCAGCTGACTTAATAGAACATGGAACTTAGTCATTATTTCAGAAGAATTACCAAAGGTTCAATGAAAAGTTACAAACAGAACGGTGGTCAGAGCACAAAAGCTACTGAAGATCACTAAAGGAAGATGCTGGTCAAAATTAGTTGCCAACCTGTACAGTCATTCTGACAATTCTGACCACAGCCTAGATGGTTTTCCTCTAGTCCATCCCCTTGATAATGGTTGCTTAATGTGATTTGAGGCTACACAAACATATAGGAGGAGAGGCAGGGCCCGACATGCCAAGCTCTAATTGGTATTTATATAAAATAGCACCCTGTGATTTGGGGCTCCTAGTATATTACAGAAGCTAAAAATATGTGCAGATGTAGATGCAATTTCATTCAGGTGGCAGTTAAACATACTGATAATGTACACAATGAAGGTCAGGCCGGCTTCACATCTATGCGTTTCAGCAACACACGTGTTTTATTGCACAATAGCACAACGCACCATGGTGCAGTGTATTGCTGTGCCCTCCATTCTGACTGGGACCCCAATGAGCGGCAGCACAACACATGGTAACTCACTACCAGGGAAGATAGTGCAGGTCCAATTTTGGGTCCATTGTAGCACATCGGCTTGTCATTTAAATTAATGAGCAACATTAACACCACAGATGTTAACACACCACAACTTAGCGTCAGTTTGTACTTTACATTCTGTCCCATGTGAAGCCAGTAGACATGAAACATGTCTGTCCAATGACTAAACTGACCAAGAAAAATAAATAAGAAACAAAAATCGACATTGTCACAGGAGGCTGGGAAGTAGGCAGTATCAATGACATATTGTGCTAAGACACCCGCTGCAAAGCATCCACTATATCTACAGTTATCAGCTACTCATGGAGTCTAAAGCTAGTCATACACGTTTAGACTTCTCTCTTTCAGCCGTAAGAGCCTAAGTAAGTGAAATCAAAAGATTCCCTTATCCACGCTAAACAGTATCCCCTGCCAGATACCACATTCAGTACCCATGACTGTCAAAACACCTAAACAGTGACTGCATCTGATAGGATGCAGTCACCGACTAGCCAAAAAAATCTCCACCTGGCTCTTTTGATTTTTTCAATCGAGTTTCGTTGAGTTGGGTGATACCAACAGAGCCACTTACGGATCACGAAACTGTGACGTGTATGGCCAGCTTAACCCGTCTAGAGAATATGTGCAAACAGTTCATACAATACTTGAACTGTTAAGTTGAAGTGGGCCTAAACTTAAATGTGAAGATTAGGAATATCTAGAAATGTAAATTATGCCTAAGTACCCTGAAAAAAATTTACCTTTTGTCTGCAATTCCTTGAGCAAATTACCATTGTTCTTCCTGATATGCGAGTGCGCCCAGGCCCACATCTTCATAGCTTCAAATGCTCTGATGCCTTGCCAGATACTTCCAGTATCAGGAAGCCAGGCAGTGAGTAATTACATGCTGCCCAGCTTTCTGATTGGCAGGGAAGCCAGCTTCATGCTCCCTCCTCATCTCACGACGAGGGAGCATGGAGCCGGCTTCTCGGCCAATCAGGTAGCCAGGCGCCGTGTAATGATCATCACGACAAGGCGCCCGGCTTCCTGATTGGCCAGAAAGCCGGCTCCATGCTTTCTCGTCACCTAGTGACGAGAAGCACGAGGAAGGCTTCCCGGCTAACCGGGAAGCCGGGTGGCGAGTCTTTACATGCCGCCCGGCTTCCCGGCTAACCAGGAAGCCAGGTGGCTAGTCATTACACACACTGCCTGGCTTCCTTTATGAGACTTCCGGTATCGCTCTTCGGTATCGGCGAGTACCGGAAATAAATATCAGTACTCTATAACGAAAAACCGGTATCGGTGCATCGATATCCTTAAAGATTTAAACAAATGTCTGCAGCTCTGTAGCCTGTATACCCAAGTATTCAAAATAGTGTCCAACTTTTCAGACTTTCTATCTTTAATAAATGCTCATATTACTGTAAGCTGGCAGATTTGACTTGTCGCTTCTTCTATATTCCTTTGCAGACAACTTATCCTTAGGCAAGGCAGTGTTCATTGGGCTGAGCAGTGGGCATTACATTCGTCACCAGATGTGGCACACAATTAGGGCTGGTTCAGTATACCTGGTAAAGGATGCCTACAAAGGTTCATTTCTGGGCAATCAAAAAAGACACACAAAGGGGAGCTAAAAAGGGTTTAATCAATGGTTGCAGACAATAAGAGCATTAGCACAGAGGAAAAACAATGACGGTTGCTGCAGGTAATTAATACTGTTTTTAAAGCACCGCACACTATTCAATAAACAAAAGGGATGGGCTTTGCCTATTTAAATTCACTCCTTTTAGTGAGGTTCTGGAAATGTCACACTGATAACCAAAACAATTTTCAATTCAATAATGTGAAGTGTTTTATAATTAAATGCTTTTATTTAGCCGTTTGATATCCCTTTCTTTTGATGGACACTCATACATGTTCAATTGCACTTTACAAAGCGAGTACATCTGAAAATGACACTGCCCACACATGGGCAGTCTATCATCAGTAGTCACAGGATCATCTTGTTCGTATAAAAAGAACCACAGCCACTTTTTACCCAATTTGGGGGTACAATCTACTGATGACACACTAAAAAGACTGACCGGTCTTTATAGAAAAATAGGTTTTTTTACTTACCTGGAAAATCCTTTTCTTGGAGTTTATTAGAGTATCATTCAGGTGAGAAAACCCCTCCAACTCTCAGCGTGCCTCAGTTTTGTGGGAAAGCAATAGAAGACTGGATCATAAGAACAGAGGGGAGGGACATGTGTGCATTAATGAACTCCAAGAAAAGGTATTACAGTTGAGTCAAAAGTTATATTTTCTTAATTGCTCACTAAAGGACACAGGATACTCAGAAACTGGGACGTCCCAAAGCAGTCCAACAGAAAGGTGGCCAGCGACACATAAAAGTCCGCAGAAAACCAGTATGAAGAGAACTGGACAACCTGCAGTTCAAAGAACTTAAAGAATGTGTCAACAGGGGAGCATGTGGCTGCCTTGCAAATCCGGGAAACTGATGCCTGATGTTGAAAAGCCCAGAAGGCACTTAGTAGAATGTGCCCTACCAGGAAAAAAAAGGGGGACCTTGCCCGTAAGGTGACCTGTCTAAGCCAACCAGAGATGTTCCAGATGAAGAGCTTCAGGAATGACAAAAAGTGTTTGTCTAATGGAAGGAATAGCTGAGAGATAGGCATGAAAATCCCTCACTACCTTCAGGGAATGGAGGGAGATCTCTTTAGGATGCTTGGGAACAGGACAGGGAGATGGGAGAACAATGCCCTGATTAAAGTAAAAAAAGAAACCACCATGGGAACAAAGCAAGCCCTAGGCCTCAAGACGACCTTGTCCTTAGGATAAGCAAGGGCTCCATACAAGATAAGGCAAGGGCTCCATACAAGATAAGGCAATCAACTCGCGCTCATCTCACCAAGGAGATGGCCACAAGGAAAGATCACTTTGTGGGTGGGTATAGAAAGGAGGCATACCAGTTTGAGATCCCACAGAGTTGCATGCGTGCAAACAGGTTAAACAATGTGAGCAATGCCCTGAACAAATGCTTTGTTCTTCTCCTTTCTGAGAGGGGGGTAACAAAGAATCGTTGAGACCTGGGTCCATGATGGTGCAAAAGGCACAAGATGGGGCATTGAAGGAAAGCCAGGAAATGCCCCACAGAGTACTTTCTGGGATGACATTTTCTTATCTCACGCCACACGCAATGCGCTTTCCATGCGCAATAGCACGTCTTGCAATAGGTGGATTTCCTAGCTTTCAGAAGTGTAGGGATAAGAGTGAGATAGGCACCTATCTCTCAGGACTAGGGCATAAACAGCCAAGCCATCAAAGTCAGCAATACTGAAGGATGGTAAACCGATCTTTGGGACAGGAGGTCTGGGCAATCTGGGAGAGCCTACTGAGAGGCCGCCATTCTGATGGAGTCAGCATACAATGTCTTCCTGGGCCATTCTGTTGCAATGATGACTGGAATACCCTCAAATTTGATAAGGCAAAGATGATAAGGAAGGAGCTTGCGATAGGCAAAGGTGTAAATCAGACTGGACTTAACCCACGGAGCAACCACTGCTACTGCCAGAGGATCCCTGTATCTGGAAACAACCCTGCTTAGTTTGGTGATGGATCTGTATGTCGGGAGACCCACACCCAGCACTCCTCACTTGGCAGAGGTCTTGAAACACTTGAAGATGAAAGGACCATTCTCTGGAACCCAGATGGCATTAGGTGGGGAAGGCTGTCTGCCTATTGTCTACACTGGGAATGAGTACAGTGAAAAGGTAGCGTTCCACCCATGCCAGAATCTTATCCACTTAATTTTTGTGCTGAAACTCCTGGTTGTTCTAAAGATCAATGTATATAATGTGTTGTTTTCTAACTGGATGCAAATCGAAACACCCAGTATGCGAGGGGGCCAACGACGAAGAGGCAAACGAATTGCTCGGAGCTCAAATGTGTTGATCAAAATGTAAGTCTATTCTGGTGATCAAATCCCAGACAGGTACTACGGGACTCCTCCCCAGCCCGTCAGGCTGGAATCCCTTGTGAGGATCTTCAGAAAGACAGAGGGAACGACTCCGGCACTGGATTCGTGAGCCACCAGGCCTTGGGTGACAGGCCAGTCCAGAGACTGCATTTTCTTTTCCCGCACAGGGTCTGGAGTGAAATTGGGCATACGGTACCACCAGAAAAGAGGCTCCCATTGGGTCCCAGGACTCTTGTGCAGATGGCTCATGGACAGTAGGGTCTTAACCAGAGCATGGAGAGTCAAAAGCTTGACCAGAATGAGAAACACGTTGAAAATGCCAGTATCCAGTAGAAAGCCTAGATACTCCAGGTGATGGGTCAGTTTCAGCGCAGATTTCTGGAGATTGGGGGCCCAGTCGAATCGTTGGAGAGACTGAACAATCCAAACTTTGGACGATGTCAGATATGGACCAAGCTCACCATGCCCTTCACAGAAGATTGTTTGAATACCCTACAGTGGAAATGCCCTGCAGGCACCTTAGTGAACTAGCGTGTTGCAGTGGACAATCGAAAAAGAAGGGCAACAAATTGTTAGTGATGCTTGTCCACAGCACATAATGCTGGTGGGCTTGACAGATGGGGACGTGTAGGTAGGGCTGAAGGGAGGTAATGATTGCCATAGTGGAAGCCGTATGAGATTTCAATGAACACACACACACACACATATATATAATTTTTTTTACCTTTTCTTTTCTTTGGGAGTCTTATTAAAAATATGGAAATAGTCAACAGCCAAAAAAAAATGTAAATGAAGCAATAATAAATAAGGCAGCCACTTTCTCTTAGTTTAGGTATCCTGGCTATATTCTAGAGAGGTATTTCAAGTAACAAGGCATCCAGTTACCACAGCATTATCTGGTCTGCCTCTCCGATTGTCAGCCTCCTTTTATCTGTCACTCAAAATAGACAATTCCTTATTTAGAATGGACTCACCGCCTGTGTCTGCTGATAGTGTCCCATGACTTGTTGTGGTGGATAAAACTGCCCCATATGACCGCTTTCATTTGTTGGCATGCCAGGGACTTGCTGTGCGCTTATCGCTTCGTGGGAAGCCGCATAGATGGCACTGTGCTGACTGGAAGTGTCTGAAGACAGTGTTACAGAACCTGTTCCTGCATCAGACATGCTATCAACTGCAACAGAGAAAAGGAAGAATTACCTAGAATAAATTGCAACAACAGTTTTGATACATACAAGTGTCATACAAGTAACTGAGCAAACACATACAAAATCGATATTAAAAAGTCTAATACAAGCTGAAAAAGAAATAACTGTGGAGCAGCATTATACTTCCCACTCAAAACACTACACGTGACTGGGCAATTTTCAGTACTTTAAGAGTCTAGTGTCAAACTATACAAAAGTAAAAGGATACATTCATGATATTGTTTCACACAACCTAGAAATAGACATCTTTGTGTCTCTAGGTCTGTGTATGCACTATTTTGTTTTACAGGAAAAAGCAAAATCTGATCAAATTGGCCTTTAAGTCTATACAGGTATACTAATTGGCTACTTTCCTCTATGCATGTGGGTATCTATTTAAAATCGACACTACCTCATCTTTTATGTTTTACAAAAATATTGGTATTATATTCTGTTCTCCACCATTTTATTCTACAGGGTCTGTGCGTTCAGGAAATATATAATTCTAGGGGGGGGGGGTTATTTTTCAGGCCTAAAATGTGGATTACCGAGTCTAAAATATGCAAAAACGGCTCTGGCAGTGAAAGTGTTAAAGATATTAGGGCAACACAACAGCCAGGTACCCAATAATTTCAGAAGGAATTAAGTAATGGCAGTCCCTGTAGTTTATTTTACATTCAAACTAGGGCTGTTACTGATTAAAATTTGCGTGTTCGATTAATCGAATTTTTTTTTAATTGATTAAAAATCGATTAATTTCGATTATAACGCACATAAAGATCCAACTACATTGGCCTATACACATACAGCACATCAATGAAGTAATAAAATGAACTAGGATCACACTAATCCAGGACGTTATTAAATCTCACGTGCCCCACTCAATATGGCCGCCGCTTGAGTGGGGCAACTCAGATAATAACGTGCTGGATTAGTGTGATCCTAGTTCATTTTATTACTTCATTGCTGTGCTGTATGTGTATAGGCCAATGCCTTGGCTGGCGCTCGTGCAGATAGTTTAAAAAAAAATTTTAATCGATCAAAAAGAATAACGATTAATCGAGAAATGAATCGTTAATTTGCACAGCCCTAATTCAAACACAAACCAGCCATTTCATTATTTTATAATTAACTAAAGATAACAAGTGATAAATTAGAAAAACTACACAGTGTGCACATAAACTTTATATGAATAATGGTCATAACATTTCTATAAAAGGCAACTCTGAATCAAAGAACCCTTCAGCAGCACTGAGTCACAATTATCTGGGCTTTATGAAATACGGATTGTTTTCAGCTAAGCCGATTTCCTTTAGAAAGTAGGTAATTGTGTGGCAGAGAAATGGCCACCATTCACTAATGTTACTTAACAGACTTGTTAAAATAAAGCCTGGAGATTAATTTAAATACACGCTTTACAGCCTTAGTAAAGCACTAAGTGCTTCACTTACGCCTAGCCTACTATAATACAGGTTGGAAAATTACAGGTTGCCATCCAATTTTTTTTTTTTTTTTTTTTAAAAGCTTAATAAACCCTAACCAACATTTGCTGAACAGTCAAACTCTGCTGTCCAACAGCCTGAGCAAAAAAACATTTTTTTATAAATCTAACTGAATTTCCACTGAATCAACACCACATCAACCTCCTGAAAAAAAGGATTATCCTTCGCACCCTTAGACGGCATGGACGAGTTTATCATCTTTAAAGATCTAAACCTCTTCCTAAGAAACGTCTACCTACGGTACATCCACGAAAACAAAACAAACTTCCGAAAAGGAAATACCAAGACCGAACAAGAAATCAACGAAATAGATGTCCAAGCCCTAAAAGATCTAGAGGCACTGTTAGAAGAGAATTTGGAAATCACCAACAATGAACAGAACGACAAATAACCCCCTTCAAAAAAAGATCAAAAACAATGCCCAATATATCTAATAATAAACACCTAGCACTTTTTAAAGAACTAGTGCACAAGGAGATAAAACAGATTGATTGGTCAATAAGGAGCAAGGATAATCTAACAAAAGCAGAAAGACAAGCCCTGAAGGAACTTAAAACAGCACCAGGAATAGTGATCAAGAGCAGCGACAAAGGAGGCAATGTGGTACTACTCCCAGAAACGATGTACACAACAGAAGTTAAACGACTACTGAACGATACACATACATATGCCAAACTAAGAGACTCCCCCTTCAAAAAACTCAGTATGGATTTCAACTTCAAAATCAATCTAGCATTTGAGGCAGCCCTCCTAACAATAAAAGAAGTATGCTTCCTACATATAGAACGATTCAACACTCCCACATTCTACATAATTCCCAAAATCCATAAGAATCCCAACAATCCACCAGGGAGACCAATCGTCTCAGCCATGGGGGGACCCCTAGAAAATCTGGGGAAATACCTGGACTCCCTGCTAAAGGACATGGTACTTCAGCTACCATCATATAGCCGAGACACGAAAGATGTCCTGAAAAGGCTATCGGAACGAACAATGAGTGAAGATAATCTACTGGTGGGAATTGACGTGGAATCTCTGTATACCTCAATACCACACAAATGGGGCCTGAAAGCTGTGGATTTCTTCTTACAACAATCCTATCCAGAAATGGCACGACAGAATGAGTTCCTGTTGGAACTGTTGGAATTCGCCCTGGAAAATAACTTCTTTGAATTTTCAAACATCTTCTATAAACAAATAAGAGGCACAGCCATGGGAGCCCCATGGGCACCATCATATGCGTGCCTGCTTCTGGGCCTCTGGGAGCTAGAAGAGGTATATCAACACCCACTTTATGTGAAACATGCAACAATGTGGTTCAGATATATAGATGATGTGATACTACTGTGGAGGGGAGGTGAGAACCTCCTGGAGGTGTTCCTGGCAGAACTTAACAAAAACGAATCTAAAACTCACCTATACCTTCAGCGACAAACAACTCTTTTCTTGAGCTATCTATAGAAATAGAGGATGGCCAAATAGCCACCAAGACATTCCGCAAAATAACAGCAGCGAATACCCTATTACACGCCTCAAGTCACCACCCACCACCGCTAATACGAGGGATCCCAACGGGACAATTCCTAAGGATCAAAAGGAACTGTTCTAAAGCAATAGATTACTCCAACGAATCTAAAGCCATGTACGAAAGATTTAGGGAACGAGGGTACCCACACAGAACCCTTAGAAAAAGCAAAACAAAAAGAAAAGAAAAAACAAGAACAGAATTACTGAAAGATAAACCAAGAGAAGACAATACAAATAAAAATTACACAAGAATGATAACAAAATATGGCTCAAGTTGGGAAAAACTAAGGTCTGTCATGACAAAACATTGGCATATCCTCGAACTCTGCTCGACTAACAAAAATAGTAGGCCCAAGACCACTCCTGACAGCACGGAGAGCAACAAACTTGAAAGACACGTTAGTGAGCTCAGAATTTAAACCAAAACGGCTGAATGAAAACTCTAATAAACCAAAAGGTATGTTCCCCTGTGGCAGATGTAAGATCTGCCCGTTCGTGGAAAAAACACACACCTTTAAAAATACGGAAGGCACTAAAATTTACAACATAAATCACTTTAACTGTGAAACCAACAGAGTGATATACCAACTAGAATGCCCCTGCCAGAAATACTACATCGGGAAAACAAAAAGACAACTAAAGGTTAGAATTGGGGAACATTTAAACGACATAAAGAAAAAAGAGAAAGACAGCCCTTTGGCTATTCACTTTGCGGAGATTCATAATAGCCAGACAAAAGGTCTGAAAGTAAAAGCCATCTATGCACTAAAATTACCCCAAAGGAGGGGAGACTTTGACACAATATTACTGCAAAAAGAAAAAATGTGGGTGTACAGATTGAACACCCTGATTCCGATGGGCCTAAATAATGAATTTAATTTAAACATGTTCCTGTGAACTAAATCGCCCTTAGACAACAAAAATCCTCCGATTCCATCTTGAAAATAAAAAACCACAGAAATATAAGCAATGCCAAATTTTTTTCTGTTTTCATCCTCCTTTTATCTATCATTATATGGGACTTAGTCCCCCTTATTCTTGACAACCATTTTTTCTATTTCCGTTTCCCTTTTGTTTTAAAAAAACCGGTTTCTTTTGATTGCTAAAGGGTTAATTCCGATGCAACAAGGAAACTAAACATAACGATGTCAGCAGACAAGATTAATCCACGAGCGACAGGTGAGAATGGCATATATAACTGCCTCTCACCTGAAGAGCAGTACGTCCTGACGAAGCCCCAAGAGGAGGAGCGAAACGCGCAGACGCCGCTTTCAGAGATAAGGTGGATGACCCAGAGACTGCCGGCCGTACAGCCCGAATATTTTTGGATCAATAGTAACGAGGGGATTGAGTCAAAAAACAACAGTGCCTGCCTGGATCACCAAACACTTGGATGCCACATCAATTAAGGGGGAATCAAAAGGGAATTCAGCGACCAATCAGCCATAAACATCTCCACGCGGAGGAAACCCGTGGACGGGAAATCGAAGGACTGACCGGGAGGTCATGTGAGTAGATTTGCTGTTAAGCTCCAAAATATGAACTAGCAAAAAAGCTTAAATTATAAGTCACCACTACATACAAATGATCCCCGATGCAAAAGGTCCTGAGAAATGGAGTATCAGTGATCAGGAAAAACAAAGCACATTTGAACACGTATCTAATCCCACTAAAAACATCAAGCTACAATCACAATAAGTGTCCCAGTTCTAATTGAAAGTATCCCCTATTGAAAATACGAAAACTGCTAAGAAAACCACCACAGATCAAATCACTGTCGATCTTAGACAACTCTGTGGTTTGGTTTTTCAAAAGAATTGCAACACACAGGACTAACCGGGAACAAGAGGGGTCACCTAGACTGGAGATAGCTTAAAGATATGCGGATAACATCCAAATCATAGCTACTAAACAGGAACAAATAAGATACATACCAGTATCTAAAATAACCCACAGACCTCAGAAATATGGGAGATACATGTACAGCCAATCAAGGGTACACCTATCCACATCACCACCGATCAAAGTCAGCCCGACCAGACATCGTTTTTAACCATTTGACAGGAAACTGTCAGCAGTGTGTTCAGTAATGTTTTTTGCATGTCTTTGATTAGAAATAGATAATTTTTCTTTAAAAATCTTGACATTGTGGTTTGTCCCAGCCAATGATTAACCCTTGAGCTGCCTTCATCTATAAGACAGTTCGCACACCTTTTTGTTCTACTGAGCCACAAGGTGCTTGCAGGTACAGTTTGCTCCTTGGCAATCAGCACCATCCGTGCCCAGGAGCCATACAAATTTTGGTTTTAGCGCTAGAGCCGATACTTAGTGATGCACCGATAACGGTATTTCGATATCCAGTACCGATAATGTTTTTCCCCCGGTACTCGCCGATACCGAATACCAATACCAGAAGTCCCATTAAGGAAGCCGGGCGCCGTGTAATTACTCGCCACCTGGCTTCCTGATTAGCCGGGCGGCATGTAAAGACTCGCCACCCAGCTTCCCGATTAGCAGGGAAGCCGTTCCCATGCTTCTCATCACTAGGTGACAAGAAAGCATGGAGCCGGCTTTCTGGCCAATAAGGAAGCCGGGCGCCGTGTAATGACACGGCGCCGGACTTCCTGATTGGCCGGGTAGCTCCATGCTCCCTCTTCATGAGGTGACAAGGGAGCACGAAGCCGGCTTCCCAGCCACTCAGAAAGCGTGTAATGACTCGCTGCCCGGCTTCCTGATACCGGACCTATCGGGCTAGGCATCGGAGCATTTGGGCGAGTGCGAGTACGCGTTCTCGCCCAAATACTCGGCATCAGTACCAGTATTGGTGCATCCCTAATGATGCTTATCTAAAAAGCCAAGTTCACCTCCTCCTGACCTACAGGAAAGGCTTGTCTGCTTAACTATCTGTTGAATTATATTTCCGAATGGCTCACTACTACTGGGAAGAGGGGATATATCGGTATACCACACTGCTATTAAACACTAAAGCTGGCCACACACTCTTCTGTTTTATTTTTCTCACTCCGTCCGTTGGTTAAACGGAAAAAATAGACTACTCCATCAACACTTACAAGTGTTGATCAAGGAATCCTCGCTGCTTCCATTGCATTCTGAAAGCGTCCCCCAGCCGCTGCCAGAATACCTGAACAGAGTCGGCAGCCCCAAAGATTCGTCCTTCGATTAGCTGAAAGGGTACAGAAAGCGGTACCCACTGTGCCAATTGTGACATTCGCATAATGTATAGCCCGCTTAGAATTCACTGGTGACTCTTGACAACAGCAAGAACCTAAGCTGTCTTAGAGCCGACATTTGATAGAAAATACAATTTATGTTTTTGGGAAAAGCACAGGTGAGAATTTATTGGTCCCTTAACCATTTTACTGCCACATTAAATCATTAAAAGGAGAACTATGAGGTGAGTGCTTTTCACTCACCTCATAGTTCTAGCCGACCTGTGACAATGAAACAGTCACAGGTCGGCTCAGTAGATCGGGAAGTGAGCGAACACTTAGCGGCGTTTGCTCACTTCTCGATCCTGTCACGGCAGAGTGCCGTGACAGGGGAGGGACTGGATTCCCCCCTCCCTGCTCCGAACCTCCAGCACTGACTGGCGGAACGGACGGGGGAGGGGGCGGGTACAGCTGGTTCTGCCTCTAGATAGGCAGAGCCAGCTGTCAGTCACACAGCTGGGCGGATCCAGACATAATTGTCAGGATCCGTTTCAGCTGCGGTGTCTCAGTATACCGCGAGCTGTAGCTCGCGGTATACTGAGCTTTGGGTGACAGGAGCGCGCTAGTTTGTGTCCTCCCGTTACCCGGAGAACTATGGGGAAAAGCCCTAACCCCATAGTTCTCCTTTAAATGGATGTAAGCAAACTCAGTTGAAAAAGTAGCTGTGAGTTTACCATTTTGTAAAGCTGCATGATCACTTCTACGGCTGGTCTAAGTGCCCCCCATCTGCTTTTTCTATATTTTGCCAAGACATACACTTTAAACAAACACCAGGGCACGCTAACATTAAGCATTGATTGGGGGATTCAGACCTGTGACTGAGGAGCACTGTTGATACTGCTGCTGTTGGAGTTGCTGCCGTACATGTTGATCCACCTCGGTCTCCTCGCTCTCAACGCCTGGCTGTGAGAGGCTTGCAGTAACACAGGCACCGGACTGGTGAGACGGGGCCCCAGAAGATCTGCTCTGTGAATCACGGCGATCTTCTAACTGTCCTGAGAGCAACTTCCTTTCTCTTGTGTTCTTTAGTAAGCACACTCGATCCCGTATGGATTTGGCAACGGCTTTACTATCACTTTCATTGAAAAATCCAGATTTCACCTAAGAAAATAGATTACAAAATACCTCATAACATTTAGCTGCAATCTTTTCTCTGTCAACACCTGATAAGCCAGGTCAGGTTCACAGGAATGTAAATCATAGCATACAACTAAAATGCACAAATTGAACTAAGTAATGCCAATTGCAGTCACAAGCTCTCACCATTTCAAAGGCCACTTCATCAGGATTGTCTGCGTCCAAGTTAAAGCTGAATTCTATAGCTTCGTTGTCTTTATGTTTCCCTTTGAGTTTTTTGGGATCTTCCACCCAGAGTCTCAAAGCTAAAGAAGCGTTGATGCCATCATCTTCCTCTGCCAGTTCCACCCGCAGACCAGTGTCTTCAGCAAAAAAAGCATGGTTCAAGAGATCCTTGATAGACAACCTAGACCAGGAAGAACACAGAAGCAAAGGGCTTTTACTTGCACTAAGACAATTCATAAGAAGACATTGAAAGACTAAATAGAAAAGGAATATTCTAAAAACACACATGGATGACAGAAAAGGTGAAATACTGCTCATAAAATATAAACTGAATGCATTAGCAAAAATGACTCATGTGCTGACCATCTAAATTAAAAAGCATCTCCTGTCAAAAAATGTCTGTTTGACTATAGTGGGTTATAGGTCAAACCTGCCATACATTCACTGCTTTCCAGAAGACAGCAGTGAGATTCACTCTTTACCTCCAAGGCACAGCCGTGACAAGCTTTTCAGCCAAGCTACTTTTGTCACTGGCTTTAATCCCTTTATAGTTAAGCCGTGCATGGATTCTCTCCTGATCAGCCCATGTGAAAGGGGCCTAAGTATTCTGGCTGTTATTCTGATGCTTTGTCTTCAAATATTTGAGTTACTGACCTGAAGCAAGCACAGAATTAAAGACCTCACTTTTATCCACCATTCATTTTTTCTGTGCTTAACTGGGACCTAAAACTATTAAGTAGGGATGGACTGAAATAATATTTTTAGATTGATACCGAAAATACTTTCAGGCTGAAACCAAAAATGAGCTGAAACCTTTAAAATTGTTTTTTTTTTTAACCTTACAGTTGGGGGCTTTGGGGAAATATAAGGGGTCTAAACAGCTCCCTGATATTTCCCTTTTGCAATAGAAAGATTGAGGACACAGTTCTAAATCTTTTTCTGCAGCCCGTTATGAATGAACAGGAAGCCTCTATACTGAGTGCTCCTGTCCCATTCATAAACTGTAGAGATAGTATGAGTTACTATGTCCACAATCAGGAATGAACAGGAAGAGATGTAGAGCACTTCCTGTTATTTCATAACTGGGGACACAGTAAGCTTACCATGTTCTCAGTTATTAACACTCAGCAATCAGTTCCGATCGCTGAGTGCTTGTAACCAGCTCTCCATCCTGACTGCTCCTCCTGTCACAGGAAGCCGAGCGGGGAGGGGAGAGCTCGACCTCCTGCTCTCCATCCTGACAGCTCCACCGGTCACAGGAAGCCAAGTGTGGCTGTGTGGGGTGGGGAGAGCTGGACCTCATGTGATAGCCGAGAGCCCCACTCAGCATCCTGAGAGCTGTCTCCTCCCCTCACCACCCCCCTTTGCCTCCTGAAAGTTCCTCTACTCCCCACTGGGCACTGGCAACTGCATTCTTCTGTGTCCCCTCAGATTCCTGCTGCCTCTGCCGACACAGGCTGGGTGGGGTGGGGGGACACCGCATTTTCGGCTGTTGAGGTACTAAATCGGCATTTTGCCCATAGCACCATTTTCGGCCGAAATGTTTCAGCTGTCAAAATTTTAGTGCATCCCTACTATTATGTCCACACACAATTAGGCAACTAAGATATTCAAAAGCAGGACAGCAATGGCAGCTCACATATTTCTCACAAAACATGTACAAGGAAGATCATTTTAACCCCAAAAGTAAACCTTGTCTCATAGCTTTGGTCCTCCATCGCCTTAAGTAGCTCGGTTGCCCTTCTCTGGACTCTCTCCAGTTAAAAAAAGACATGCTTTCTGTGGATTGGTGACCAAAACTGGACCGCATATTCCAGATTTGTCACAATATGCAGCAACGGTATCATTTTCCAAAAAGCTGTGCCAATAAAGCAGTCCTTGTGCTCCAGTCAAGTGACTATGCTTAGGGGGAAACACTATCCGCTGCAGGCAGAATAAAGCAATGCCCCTTCAGTGATTAAACTACAACCCGTTACCTTTATACAAGGGCACGAAAATGAGAGAGGCTGCAGCAGGGGCTGATCTGTGTAAGGCCAACTGTACAGGTACCAGGACTATATTAGCTCTTAGCCAGCATCCCAGTCTAGAAAGTAGATACTGACCCTAGATAATGGCTAAACAAGAGGACACTGTCCTTCAGATGAGAAAAGCTGAGAGGCACTTGGGCAGTACTGTGCTCTTTGTGTGATGTAATTAACTGTATTACACATAACTTCGTATGCTGCACTTCACATGAAATACAATATCTGATGTTAGATCCACTTTATTAATTACATACATTGTAACTCCTTGAAAATGTGCTGCTATAGAAAAATTATTTCTAAACCCGGAATCCACATTTAGGTTGTACATCGAAGAGGCAAACTCAAACTAATCATGCTGCCACCTAATTGTGTTCTTTTCTTACCTCTCCGTCTTATTCTGCCGAATGCAGCTCCCTATGATTTCCTTTACCTCGGGATCGTTCACTTTGTTAAAACTGGCAGGTTTAATACCCTGGAGGGTAAAAGAAAAGAAACAATTAAAATCAATATTAAACGCAGAAGGCTTTTAAATTAAATTGCGTACAATAGATGCTGCTACCTGATATTTATAATGTTTTAGAGGGTTATTCACAAAAGAGTGAAGAGTTTTGGGAAGGCAGGAGAAGTGAGCAATCTAGGACAACATAGCCGATTTGGAATAATGCTCCAGTTCAGCGATGTTGTCTTAGATTGTTCACTTCTCCTGCTTTCCCCAAACTCTTCACCCTTTTGTGAATAACCCTGTTAGTTTCCTGCAGAATAAGCTGGTCCCCTGAGCACTGGCCATGATGTGTGTTAGGGTGGCACCTTTCCTTTGCAGGGTCCTATAGTCACCCTTGTGTTCACTAGTAAGCTGTGTGTCTGTCCAAAAACACAGACGCAGCAAGGCAATCCACTCTCCTGATCCCTGCTCTCCTGTCCTCCAGGACATCTCTAGAGTCTCCCCCATGCTCTGGAATTCTTTACCCCAACCTGTCCATCTAGCTCCCACTAGCTTCAGGCGATCCCTTAAGACTCATCTCTTCAGGGAAGCTAACGTCAAAGTAACTACTCAACCATCACGTTCTCAAACAATTCATCCCCACACAGCTACCCCCTCATGTATCCCTCCCCCCCCCCTCCCTTTTAGAGTGTAAGCCCTCAGGGGCAGGGCCCTACCTACCATCTTGTCTTGAATTGTATTGATTGTAATGTCTTCCTTATATTGTAAAGCGCTGTGCAAACTGTTGGCGCTATATAAATCCTGTATAATAATAATAATAATAGTAGATGAACGGCTGCTGGAGGCTGCTCTGTCCCTTGTGATCTTGTAACGGACAGAATGTTCAGGGAAGCGGAGCAGAGAGAGTTGGAGCTCTTCAGATACACAAGTGTAAGTGCTTGGGAAAAAATGTGAAGAAATACTTTGCTGGACAATGTATATTTATTTGATCTGGATTCAGCTCACACACAGGCTGCTCATTAAATCAAGAGTGCATTACACCAGGAGGGAAACAAAAGCAGGAGACAGATTTAAAAAAGAACTCCGGGCATAATTGTTCTTAACCATTGCAATGGGGCTACCCCCGCACTGCAAGGGTCAAGTGCTCGTTTTCATCTAGCGATGAAAATTTTTTTAAAAAAAAGTTATACTCACCTGAACCTCGGAGTTGGCTGGCTGTTAGACCAGTATCTGCCTCCTTGCTCCCCCTCAATCCAGTGAGTCATCACGTCCTATATAGAGTATAGGACGGGAGGATGCCAAAGGGGACATTTCATCGCTGGAGCAGAGGAGGAGACAGGCAGAAGGGACCGGAGTAGCAGCCAGCCAGCTACGCGGTTTAGGGGAGTATCATTTTTTTCAGATGAAATCAAGCACTTAACCCTTGCAGGGCAGGGGTAGCCCCACTACAAGATCAATCATTTTGCCCAAAGCTAATTATTAAGGCAGAAGGCAAAACCATGTTAGAAAGCGGACGTACGCTGGTTACTTTGCGGTAGATCTGAGCGGCATTCTGGCATTCAGAGTATGGATATTCTGAGGTAGCCATTTCCAGCATGCACATGCCAAATGCATAGACATCCACTGACTCGTCGTAATGCTCCTCATACATTTCGGGGGCCATGAATTCTGGGGTTCCTGCAGATAAATTATTATAGAATGCATCACCTTCACCTGCAAGCCCATTGTAAACACACACAGTGTAATACTGCAACAAAGCAACAGCTTAGGCAAAAAGAAAGCGAGGAACAAAACCCGTTCAAACAGTTATATTTCCCAGAATGCTATCCATGCACTAAGACAGGCAAGCTTCCAAAGCCCTCTTATGCTGCTTAGGGGAAGGCAAATTCTGGTCAAACTACAAATCCCATTATGACAGTCATGCCTGTGGCTGTCAGAACTTTGCAATGCCTCATAGGATTTGTAGCTGCACCACAGCTGGAGGGCCAACGTTTGCCTACCCCTAAACCTACAGATTTTTTGGCACAGCCGTTCCATAAAACATACTGGTATAAAGTAAGAAAGCGTTAAGATCAAATTGCATTGCTAAAATAAAGGCAATTTTAAAAGTAAATCTCCATTACAGAGATCAGTGTGATATGACATTAGGCAAAGTGTGGACATATTCTATGGCCTTGCTGCTACAAATTCTCTGTGCATTCTACAAACTCAATGCAACGTTTGGCCTTAGGTAGGATGCATATTACTCATGCTAGGTCAAGGGTGGTGATGTTGAACACATTGAAGCTCAATGGTTTCAATTTCATTGTTGTGGTCACAGAATGAGATTTTCTCTGACAGGCAGCAAATCTGAACAGAGTTTACAAGGTAAAGATATGTGAAAATCACAGACGCCAAAACACAGTAACTGCTCCTTTAAATGGTCTTCCAAAAAGTATATACAGGGGGGGGCAGCTCCTCACAGTCAAGGGAAACTGAAAATCTGAGGAGGACAAATCATAAGGGGCGCCTCCATAGTGTAAAATTGATTAAGGATAAAACACACAGCTGAAAAGGTACTTACAAACCAGCTTGTAAAAACTAGCAGAAAGCGATATAATCTTGGGAGACCATCAAGATGAATACACGAAAATAGGGTGAGGGAAAGGAAGTGCTAGTACTAAGCCGAAGCCATCTGTTCGCTGACCCTCCTTCAGTTGACGCGTTTGAGGACAAACCTCTAGCAGGTTCTGATGAAGGAGGTTTGTCCTCAGAAACGCATCAACTGAAGGAGCTGCAGCGTGCAGATGGCTTCGGCTTAGTACTAGCACTTCCTTTCCCTCACCCTATTTTCGTGTATTCATCTTGATGGTCTCCCAAGATTATATCGCTTTCTGCTCGTTTATACACGCTGGTTTGTAAGTACCTTTTCAGCTGTGTGTTTTATCCTTAATCAATTTTACACTATGGAGGCGCCCCTTATGATTTGTCCTCCTCAGATTTTCAGTTTCCCTTGACTGTGAGGAGCTGCCCCCCCCTGTATATACTTTTTGGAAGACCATTTTCAGGAGCAGTTACTGTGTTTTGGCGTCTGTGATTTTCACATATCTTTACCTTGTAAACTCTGTTCAGATTTGCTGCCTGTCAGAGAAAATCTCATTCTGTGACCACAGCAATGAAATTGAAAGCAATGAGCAACATCACATCACCACCCTTGACCTAGCATGAGTAATATGCAGCCTACAGTTTACAAGGCTACAAAGTTGGCTTTCTAGCCAGCAGGGCGCTTGAAGAATATCTGCAGTTTTGTGCAAACTTGGTTGATACCAAGCCCCTCGCACATCACTACTGACAAAGCTGTATATAAAGTAGGGAGAAATATGGTTGTAATTACAACTTCCAGTATGTCCTAAAGTGTTTCAAAGGCCATTTTTATTACTATTCTCACTGAAAAGGATCAAGTGTAATACAGAATTGTAAAAGCTTTATTACAGCCGACAGTGATCAGGACGCACATTCATGTTCCCTCCAGGAGGGAGGGACGCAGCTGACCATTCTTGCTTCACGTGATAGACATAGGATGGTATGTACACTATGCATGTCTTCCAAGCAAATTCCGAATAAAATGGGACAATTTACTAACATATCACGCTAAGATGACAACTGGAAGAGTTGGGGAAAAAAAGGATTGGGAAAGTAAAGCAATAAAGTTGAGGGATGGTAAAGTTGTAGGGGGAGGTGGGTGGTGATAGATGGTGGGTAGACTTCGCCACAGCATACAAAAAGTCTTGATGTTCCAACTAGGGATGCACCTATACCAAGTACCATACTCAGTACATGTACAGATACTTTGAGCTCCAAGACTAGACTAGAGAAAAATTCAAAAGTTAGGAGGCTGCTGTCATTTGTAAGGAGCACACGGAGCTGCTGGGATTTGTACATCTGTTTTAATGTATGATTTTGGAGATATATATATATAGCACCGATACCATTTTTGCAAGTACAAGTACTGATACTTGCCCAAGTACTTAGATACAAGTACCGATAAATTTTTGTTTGTCATATGACAGTTTTTCTACAACAATACAGACTAATGATTTCAGGTCAGTGGTGGAGCGCCAGAGCCAGGTCCCAGCTGCAACCCTGGTAGTTCTCATGAAAATGCCAAGTATAGGCACTGGTATTGGAAAAGTATCTGTGCATCTCTAGTTCCAACTAAAGCATAAAAAAAACAAAAAAAAAAAAAAACCTCCAGAGGTACTGCATACTGCGCATTTTTTTAATTGGGCCACAAAATGCAGGCCGCAGTGTAGAGTAACCTAGAAGTTTACAGTGGAGTGAGGTTAGCAAAATCCACTCTCCATTGTAAATTAGCCATCATTTATTAAACTGACCTTGCCGAGTCTTTATTCATCACTCAGTGATAAGGAAAATGTCACCCAATTATACTCGGCACAAAACAGGGAGACTCACCAATCACACTCTTTGCAAAGGATGTCCTCATCAGAGTGGCCAGACCAAGGTCTCCAATCTTCACGGAGCCAGTGGGCCCAGTAATAAAGATGTTGTCACATTTTAGATCACGATGGATAATAGGGGGAGTCCGAGTGTGGAGGAACTGAAGCCCTTTCAAGATCTGTCTACACCAACTCCTTAATACTTTTGGCTTCATAACCTTGAACCGTTTCAAGTAACTGCAAAATAAAACAAAAAACACACACAAGCATCATTAGTCGCTCCATGGGCCTTGAATTTTGCTGTAAACGGTAGCTGTTCTCAAAAGTATCAAGTTGAATTGTAGGAGTCTAAACTGCACGCTAATATTGTGGAGTAAAACATTCTACATCGCCTCAGAAGTTCCTCTGCTCCAAAACTTTCTTCCCTACATCAGGCAACAGCCTACGTTCTACGTAGGTACATCAGGTGCCAACCTAAGAAGCCAGTCTGCTCTGTGCACACTCAATACAAAAACGAAGGCCACACTTCAGGTGACATCACTTGTAATGCAAGAAGCTTTATTTAACAGAACAAAAATGTACATCCCTTATAATGACAGCCCAC